AAATATCCCGACTCTTTTTAAACTTCAAAGATATGCATTTTTCAGAGGCTACATGACATCCGAAGTTGAGAATTCAACATCATCTTGTATCAACTATATGATAACTCTCATGAACAATACACAAAAATCATATAATTTACATGAACCTTAAGACACTTAGCATAATCCTTGAATTAAAACCCATGAAATGGAATAGAGTGATAAGCCATATACCTCCTCAAGGATCTCATGGAAAACTGAAAGAAAACAGGAAGGAAGTCTCGGACGTAGAACTCGTCTCGGCTTCCCGTTGCTACTTCTGCTCGCGTGCGGCTCCCGGTTCTCTGCACTCGACCCACGAACGCTGAACGGGGCTTCTCGTACGGGGTCCGCTGACCATGAACGGAACTCGGCTACTCACTGCATTGCTCACGGCTTCGGGACTGGCCCCGGATCGCTGCTGGACGGAAAAAGGAGTGCAGCTACTCGACGGGAGCCTGGTTGCCACCAACATCGGCGAAACTCACCAGACAAAGACCGCCGCTTGCTAAAAAGGGCCGACAAGGTCGGAGGCTTCTTCTGCGGCGATGGCAGATGCACTACTGCCGAGATTGCGTGGTTGAGATGACCTGCCGGTCTGCAAGCGGAAGGAGGAGGTCGCGACGTGACAGGGAGTTGCGTAGGAGCGGCTGCAGTTGATCGATTGTGGTGGTGAAGGGCCGGCGTCGGCTTGCTGCTGTTCACTTCCGGCGAGAGGAGACGGTAGAGAGTGATGCTGATGCTGATGCTGATGCTGGTGCGCGGGCGATGATGATAATGATGGAGGCGTGTGAACAACAAATCTGAGGGAGAGATATATGGAACGATGGGGGCGATGGATTGAGCGAGAGAAAAATCTCGTTCTCTTTATCTGCTGATGGCGATCGCGAGAGGAAGATTGGGAGAGATGAACGATAGAGAGCTGCGGGAAGTGGATTTTGTTACTGCTGAGGGTTGGGAAATTCATTTATACATGAAATCTAGGTTAATCAAATTGTCTTGGTCCACAGATAAGAGATCACACGCACACATACGTACCAGGTTAGAGGGGAAAACCGGTTCGGCTTAGCTGGTCCGGTTCATATGCGGATTCGAGATAATAACTCGTTCTCGGGCTCGGTTTAATCGTGCGATGAATTAAAATTTTAACCGAATAAAATATATACAAATAATACACATAATAATATTTACTATTATTACACATAATTTATTTTATTAATTACACTCATTAATCACATAAAATCAATCAAACAATTAAAAACAATTAGACATTTAGAAATAATAATAATAATGACATTTAGGCAAATAATTATAATAATAATACTAATAATGAAAGCATAAATAATTTAAATAATTCCTAAATATCTCACAAATAAATGGGACATTACAGTCTACCCACCTTAAAAGGAATTCCGTCCTCGGAATTCGAAAATTAAACATCCAAACTCTAAAATGCAACATCAAACATGAAGTTCGGATATCTCCTATAGTCTCGCCCTCAGGCTCCCCAGT